CAAACGGATACAAAAATCAGACTTGAAATTGAACAAAAATGAAAAGAGATTGTATTGACCTTGCGCTTGAGATTGTAGCGGTGCCATTCAGACTTGTAATGGAACTTTTGCTCAGCGTCGTCTTCGAACTCCTTGTTACACGAATTACATGCTAAACCTGACATATCTCTCTCTGTAAGAACCGATTGAAAACGAAAAGGAGAATTCGGAGTGAGAGATGGATGCTGCTATATATATGTGGCGACGGCGAGTAGGTCGGTTCAAGGGAACAAGGTAAAGAAGCAAAGTGTTTTGTTAAAAGGTTTGTGATGCGTAAGCGATGATGTAATATGGGTCGGATTTGAATTTGGCCCAAACGAAAGTTAAATTGGCCCTTCACCTAGGCCCGTTTTCTTACTTATTGGGCCCAATATATATTGTCGGCAATTTAATTTTATTTTTCGTAAAACATTTTAACTTTTTACTAGTTTTAAGTTTTTATTTGACAGAAGCACAAAAACTAACACAACCATCCAAACTAGAACAAAGGAAATCAACCCAAAATAGAAAACCAAACAAGGACTTAGAAAATCAAAAGTGAATTTGATCATGCCCAAGATTAATGAGCAATGGGCAGAGCAAGTCATCCCTCCCGGGGTGTTTGTTGAATTTCTATCTCCACAAACAATCTGACCATTCCCCGTGTGTGTTCCAAGTTCCTTCGCTCAAGCGAGCAACTCGTAAGCCATTCAAGTTCTATCACCATGTCATAGTTCATCGTCATGATTACGCTTCAATGGTTGGAGAAGCTTGGAATTGTGATTCAGTGGTGGGCTCAAGTCAGTTTAAGGTGGCACGCTCACTCAAAACGTTAAAGAAAAGTATGAGGAAGCTTAACAAATTTGGTTTCAAAGGAATATCTATCCGAGTAAAAGTTCAAGCGGCCAAGCTGGCAGCACTACAAAATGCTATCCTAATAAAATTCATAAAAAAAAATTCGGTAAATCATATAGTTGAAACAACTTTTAATACAATCTTCATATAAAATCGTTAAAATAATTTGCGACATAGGAAACACAAAAATTCAATATTAATATTTTCTAAAAATATTTTTGAATTAAATATTTTTCCTAATGAAAATCATTTACCGATCCGCCAATATCCACTTCTAGAATATTTCATATTCAACTCCATCAGAAAGCATAGGAATAGACACAAGAGCTCCCGTAAAACTGATTTCACGTTGCACCCACCACCACATTTTTCACTTGTAGAATCACCTAATGGAGAGGTTATTATTGGAATATCAATCCAAGTTTTACATTGAAAGTTTAGACAAAAATTTATTTAATATATAAGAGATGTCCAACTCTAATTAGTATGAAACATTTTGGAAGGGAATCCATAAACACATTGATCCGGGTTTTGCCACTAGCAGACAATATCATATTTATAAGAGAGTTTGACCCACAACTATTATGAAAAAAACCTAGTGGTGAAGGTCCATCTAGAACCCAACCCCAGATATGTTTTTAGGAGGATAGACCACATTCGAAATTCTGCTTTGGTTCTTGGTTCGAGAAAATGATAGACCCGTAAAATTCGAAACTGATTAAAATAAAAAGAGGACTTAAACAGTGAACTCTAAAACAAAAACATAAAGACATTTGATGTTTCCACATGGCATTGCATTGCCACTATCCACGAGCATCCATTGCCTTTTTTTGTTCACATGGCAAAGACAAGTTCGATCTCCCTTTATCCTCGTGAATTTATTTTCTCTCTGATTTCTTTTCTGGTCGAACCTATATTTCCTCACATCATCATTTAATTCATATCCTAATCATGGAACCAAAAAGGTATTATATTATAAAGTAAATTAAATGATCAGAGATGATGAGTCAAAATCATACATCTCTATCTCCATAATGTTAAAAATCGATTACCTCTACTTCCATGGCACATGACATGAGATAAGATTACAAATATACTCATTACCGCAACCAATAAAACGTTGTATGCCAACTTTAAAAATAAGAGCTTACGTGCGTCTTAACGTGTATTATATTCTGTCAAATTATTTTACTACTTAACTAGCATTTATAATTGGTTTTTTGTTTGTTTGTTGAGTGTCTCTGAAGAAGAATTCGAGAAATTGTTTTGTATCTTCTCATATTTAGAGGAAAAAGTTTGTATATATGAGTGCGTGATAGAGGATTCTAACGATATCGACCAAAAAAAAAAGGATTCTAACGCAAAATGCATAGTAGTAGGAAATTAAAGAAGAGAGAAAAAGAAAGTTGTTTCTTTCACAAGTTTCTCCTTTGGGTGTTCATTTTTGTCTCCAGGAGTTTGTAATTACTGTTTTTGCTTGTAGTGATGGGACAACTCGTATAATTAATTTTCCCTCTTTTTTTCTTATATAATATAGCATGTATTTTACTTAACTTGATATATGTATTCATATTACATCAGTTATAATTTAAACATGTTACTTCTTTGATTAAATCTGATATTTGTATTCATAATATATATAAATATATATAAGTTATAATTTAAACATATTCCTTTTACTAATAGTAGGCCTCCATGGTTCGTAAGAGCATCTCTAACGGTGAATTATTTAGGGTGTCAACAAAATTTTTTGATTAAAAAATTATTTAATCTGTTCATCTTCGGATGAAACGGGTCTGTGGGATGAAGCTATTGAAACGGGGTCTTCGGGACACGTGTCGCTCTTGTATTGGACCGAAGTAAAAAAAAATCAGAAAAAGAGAAGCAAGATGATCGACC